TATCATATGTATGTTCGGCATCGTCCCGCTGCTGATCCTTATAGGGACGATGGCAAATCGAAGTAAAAGCTAACAGCAACTATTTCAGTAACTTTTATATTTGACACCCTTTATGCATTTCAGTCCCAATACGAACAAAGATTCATGTGATTTTCAACGCAGCGCAGGTTTCTCGGATTTGCTGCTTCACCTCCTCGATTTCTTCATCACTGAGCTGATCGCTAACGAGGTCGAAGTCATCATCATGAACCTTGGAGGTTTTGTTCTTCCTCTGAAATACAGTTCTCGTTGCAAAAAGTCATTCACTATTTTACCATCTCCTCACAGGGCCTTCTAAAGGCAAGAATCAGGATTAAATTGATGGGTTGATTCCACTCAAATGTGAAAGTAGGGGTGGGAGGTGGACCGCCAGTGGAGAAAAAAGGAAAGAAAATCCTGAAATACACAGGAAATACGAGCATTTTGCTCCATGCTGTGGAGAAGTTCAAAAGACAGGCAGGGAGATGAGAGATAATGTGAGCGCGGAGAGCGGTAGAGAAGTCGAGAAGAGAGAGAGCATAGCAGATCAACGTGGCGACGCAGACAAGATATCGAACGGTGGGCGGACCATGTTAAGTTTGGTGGAGTCTGTTAGAAGTCCATGGCGCCTAGGGTCCTAGTGACGCGTTTCGATGTAGAAAGGTGGCGCTACCTTTGCACTTGCGTACCAGCACTTCTAGCCATGGTAAGGGCTTCTTAGGTGGGCTGAGCCCGAAACTTTGCCTTCAAGTACTGGGTAGCACGTTCAGATTCTGCTTACAGATCCGTACACGTAACCAGCTCATCGTTTTGGCATTAATTCTTTGAACACGACATTAACTTGACGGTCGCCTTACGAATTACAGTGGGAAAACGAAAAAATCCTATCATCTGTCATGATGAAATGTCATCTGTCGATGAAAAGCCTCCACCTTGAAAAATTTTGCAACGATCTACACTTCAACTTGCCCCCGCCGAATCACCCTTCCGTCGTGGACAAACCAAAATAGTGTTCAAGCACAAAAATAATTCTACATACAGTGAGAGACTATTATTACCCATTAAGCCTCAGATTGCTTGTAATTTTGAAAAAAAGTAGCCAAATAATTGTTGGTAATTATTATTACGTTTAGATCTGCATGAGACTTCGGACAGGGCGGAAGTGGTGTAGTGGCAAGTGGCACGCTTACCACGCGAGCGGTCCGGGGATCAAATCCTGGGTCGTGAGTCCCCGGGCCAACCAAGCCTTCCATCCCTCCGGGGTCGGTTAATTGGTACCAGACTTGTCTGGGAGGATAAAAACACTGACTTGTACATCGGCTGGCCCCGCAAGTCATTGTATAGGCCACATCGCATTCAAATGCCACTGCGAATGTACAAATGGAAGTAGAATGCGTGCCGTATCCCAAAAAGGTCGGGACGAACCAATATTAGAACACAAAAATAGTGTACACTCCGGTCATATGGTTTAGCTCGGTCTGTTACCATACATGCCCCCGGTGACCACTGTCCGACCGTAAACGTCGTGCTAAACTTGGCTCCATATCTGATTAGCGAATAAACGAACAAAGACAAGAAGACAGACAACTAAACAGTCAAGCAAAACCAGCATACCCCTCATGTACTACATGTGATAGGAACTTGCGAAAATAATTACGTGAAAATTTTTTGAGCTTGGTAAATAGGGGGGGTTCCTTCGTATGTCTCCCGTCGCACAATTGCAAAGGTTATTTCTGCTATTGCTAAGCTCGCCTTTTCTACAGACTTTGATACGACACCTGAGCTCATCTTTGACCCTGATTCTTTGAAGCGCTCGTTTTAACCTGATCTTATGGGCGGTACCCCGCAGATAGGCGCCTCCAGTTGCACGTGCAGGAAGTTGAGGCGACGATATACCGTAACCACGTTAACAATGGGGCACGTGGTTTTCTCTACACACCCTCTGAAACGAAGGATTGGGTGGAATAAAGACGCCAAAAATTAGCCACCCCGCCGTTTCCAGGGAGGGTGGAGTTCGGCATTAATGGAAGTCTTTATAGCCCAATAAGTCGCCATAGCCAAAAGGCGGATGTGGCCGTCTCAACTTCCTGAACAGATAATCTTCTGAAGGGGCCTCAGTAATCTTTTCGTGCCATCTCCGTGCGTCCGTGCTTGAATACGCTTCTTTTGGGGAAAGGAAAGGAAATATCGACTGCATCCGTGCCTCAATGCCAACTTGAGTTGTGATACACCACACCAGCTTCAACTTGAAATCTTGTACGAGACTCTGCGCTTGCACTTCTCATATGATTATCGCAAGATGGTTCCGAGGGTTCTTCGCAGTTTTGCTTGCCCTCCTCCATCACCTGTCAACCCTAAAAACCACTCTACCTTCATTGTCGGACTCATTAGCTCAAGAATGAAGATAGAAAGGTAGACATCCTCTGATGAAATGTGCCAGTAAAATATATTAACATAGTTTAGTTATGAATCCCCCCAAAAATGTGATTTGAAAAAAAATTGAAAAAAAGGTTGAAGAGCATCTTTCCCAGGCCAGTTTTTCTCTTTGTATCTGTTGGGCGGAAGTGGTGTAGTGGCAAGTGGCGCTTACCACGCGAGCGGTCCGGGGATCAAATCCTGGGTCGTGAGTCGCCCGGGCCAACCAAGCCTTCCATCCCTCCGGGGTCGGTTAATTGGTACCAGACTTGTCTGGGAGGATAAAAACACTGACTTGTACATCGGCTGGCCCCGCAAGTCATTGTATAGGCCACATCGCATTCAAACGCCACGAAATGTACAAATGGAAGTAGAATGCGTGCCGCATCCCAAAAAGGGATTGATCAACGGCAAATGCTTTATCCTTTATCCTTTCCGTAAATTTTGTTTAGTTCAGGGCAAGTATTGCCCGAATCCTATTCCCGCTAGAAATCACTGATTTTGGATTCATCATCGGGCCAACGTGCACACCGAAGATAAATGAATATTAGCGTTGTCTGATTTGGACCTGGAGATCAACTCTTCAAATATCTCTTCTCCGTCGGGTTGCACTGCAGTGATTGATTCTTCTGACGAATCTTCCACTGTAGTGCTGTTCAGGGGATCTTCCTGAAAAATACTCGAATGATCACCGTACTACATCCTGGTCTGTTGCTTTTGTGCAGAACTAATTTTGCGAACCTCGGCGCGCGTAATTTAATTTACATTTCCTCGCTTATGTAGTGATGTGACACGTTTTTTTTGCGGTGACGTGACTTACCGAGAAGGGAAAGCGAGGTAATATGCGGTGAGTGGATTGAAAAAGTGAAAAATGGAAATACAAACGTAGAAATATTTATATCGTGGATATAAAATGGCTACAACGATTATCGTTTCAAAGTAGTGAGCGGATGGAGGGCGGTGATAGGTATGTAGTTATAAGTATTTGCCCAGGCTCTAGACTGTTATGGTGCGAATGACAAAGTACACTTGAAGTTCACCTTTTCTGGTTCACATTAAGCGGTGCCTCTTAGAACTGGCGCTTACTTATACGTAACGGACGACGTCTCCACATTGTGGCGCACAGTCGTCCGTTACGTGTAAGCAATAGAGGAACACATTATTACATTCCCAGTATCTGAATGGCTGAATTTTTGTCAAACTTACCATTAGAACAGATCTCATATACACTTTATTTTCTTTTTCCAACTTCTTCTACTTGATTAATGGCGTACTCATGGCACCTCCCGAGACTCCTTATCCTAAAAATGCCACTTCCCTTGCTCGGGGTTGTTGTTTCGCATTTTTCGATAATGTCACCTGCAGCTTCCATTCATTCTTGCACCCTAGTTTTAGAGCGGAAAGGCGAGTTACGAAATTGTCGTCAATGAAAATCTCATCTTTCGGAAGATCAGACAGAAATATACTTAGAGACAGAATTTACGATGAAAAGTTAGCTCATTGGAAATAAGGGTAGAGGTGGTCAGTGGAGCAGGGATGAAGAAGAAACCATTTGAAACGGCCCGAAACCCGAGAAATGGGACCCCTTCCTTGCCCGTTGATTTGCGCATTGATGCGACTCTCATCGCTGTGCCCTCTTCAACACTACGCTCTCTGCTATCTAATCACTCGCCACGTATAGACCTGCGGCGAGTGATTAGATAGTCGGTGGGCGTACCCCGCCAACCGCGCCAAGAGTGAGCCATGCTAGATCGCCGAGGTCAAATCTTTCGCTGCCAATTGCGCGTCGGTCAGCACCCTCAGGAGGTCCGCCTGTCTCCCAACTATGCAATTTCCCCTTCTTTGACCTTCGTTCTTATCGTGAATTCCTCCTTTAACCCTTTCCGGACCGCGCACTTTTCACGTGGCGGGCGCGTGTGGCCGGCGCCTTTTTATGCTCACCGTCGCGCGCTACTCAGCGAGCATAAACATCATGTATTTAATCTGTATTCCCATAAAATCAATATTATTCTCGTTTGTGTCTTTAATC